AAGTGATAAATTTATCGTTGCTTGAGTTATTAAATAATTAAGTTTTTTTTTAATAGAATATCTAATTTTCTTGAGTAAATGTTATATACTGTCACTGAAAGGAAGACTAATATAACAATTAGCAGTAGTTAATTTTATTTGTTATATATATAACTAACCCAATAAAAAAGAATTCCATGCTTGTCTACTTCAGTTATATTTAATGCAGATAAAGAGGAAACTAAGCAGTTAACAAGATTAATATTTTGATCAGGTTCGTTGACAATTTTTATTAACAGGTCGACTACTTTGTTTTTTTCATAAAATTATGCTTAGTTTGGGAGTTAAAGAAACTCTCTACATTCATAAATTAAATTGTAATAAAATTAAGTGATTGTCGTGTATGTAATTCGTGCAATAACTGAGTTAGTAACATAAACAATGACTTGATATTTAAATTTGATGCAATTTTTCGAAAAGTAGAATAACAGTAAATTTTACATATATAACAAAGTTCGTAATTATTTTAGCAGAGAAAACTGCAATTCTATTTTCAAATTAATTGTCTCCAAGAATTTTTTTTTGATGGGGAACCTCGTTGTCAATCTTTATTAGCAGGTCAACTACTATATTTATCTCCATAAAATTATGCTTAAAAGCATGAACTCCCAAACATTAATGTCGAATTACTATCATATCCCCAATTAAAAATAGTCAATTTATTTAATTATGTTATATTAAAAGTTGATACCTTTTCACATTAATGGATTGTGACTTTTTCGATGAGTTGTGACTTTTCCAAAGGATTGTGACTTTTTTGACGGGTTGTGACATTTTCGATGAGTTGTGACTTTTCCAAAGGATTGTGATTTTTTCAAAGGGTTGTGACTTTACCATAGGGTTGTGCCTTATTCGATGAGTTGTGACTTTTTCAAAGGGTTATGTCTTTTCCAATGAGCAGATACTATTTTGAAAGGTTGTGACTTGTCTAATAAGACACAATCAGAACATATTCATACTACTATTTGTTAGCTATAAATAGAGGGGGTTCCTCTCACTGTTAAACTACAAAATTTTTAGGTTTTATACTCTTGTTCTTCTTAAAAAATCTCAATTGTTATTTGCAATAGTTTATTAAGTTCAGAACCCAACGAAATTTGAGGTACCACATAAGAAAGAGTTGGTGAACAAATTGTAGCAAATCATTCATCATTTCACACTCATATTTTCCTCTAACGATTTTCTTCACATACATACATCAATATTATTTATATCATTTTGAAAATTAATACTCTTTAATTAAAATACTAATTTACTACGAATAGTCACAATAATTTCTACCTTCATCTTTCTTCGATCATAATTCACAACCATTCACTCCTTATAAATTCTTGGGGATCTCTTTTCTATGACAATTCGTGATCATTTAAAAATTTTCATAAATGATTTATCCCCAATCCATTGATATGTTTCACCGAAGTTCTTAGTATTGGAATTTAGGTATTGACTTTCTATTAAAGAAGAAAAGAAGAGAACAAAGAAATATGCAATTAACTATTAACTTTGTTTCACACAGAAATCTTCTATATACTTTGAGCGGGAATTTTAAATTTATTTTTCTTATTTTATTTCTTGAATAATTTCTTTTGTGTTTTCATTCGAGAGAGAATTTAAATACACACATTGTTGATTATTTTTTTCTAATAAAATAAATAGATAAAGATGTAGGAGAGACAATAATAATAAACAAATACAAAAAAGGCACATGTTTGGGGTAAGATATTTCTTCTTTATATTTCCATTTCTTATTCTTTAAACATAAAATGAAGGAGTTTCTTCCTAATTTTGATAAAACATCAGGCATCAACGCAATCCATTGAATTAATAGTTTTGATGTTAAGTCTACTGTTTCAAAAATAGATTTTCACTTTTACTTATAATATGATAAAATAACCATGATAATAAATAATTTTTAACAGATATTTAAGTAAAAATGAAAGGAGAAAGTAAAGTGTTGGTGGCAAGAGATTTCAATCAAATGAAACACTAGGGTGAATATATCATGAACATATATTTTCGCCTTCCTTCTTCATTGGCTATTAATTGATCCACATATTTTTACTTTTTTATATTTACGTTGATCAATTTGATTTTTTTAAGTATGAATTACTTGTTATTTTGTGTTCATTTTGATCTAACAAAATGTTCTGTCATAAGATACACTCTTTTCTAGCTATATAAAAATGATAAGAAAATTGTGATTAATCATAAAATGATCTTAAATCAAATTAAAGATTCTATAAATAATACTTTAGATTTTATTCATCTTTTAATTTTTTAATTGAAAAAGTTTAATGTTTTATATTGCGATAGAACATCTATAAGATACTAGATACTCTCATAAGACAACATCTATATGATATGTATGCGGCAAAATAAAGGATAATTTTCTTTAGAACTAATTATTGACGTAATATATTTTTCTCTATAACATTCTACGTATAAAAGTATTGACATTCACTTTTTGTTTTTGTAAAATTACATCTATATCATAGTCTTACACAAATATTAATTGAATAATAATATCTTGTAAAAGATATATAACGTTTAAGGATAAAATATTAAAATATCTCTGACAATCGTTCTTCTTGTCATGCACAATTTCAAATATTAATATCTAAGAGAATAATTTTACTTAAATGGTGTCCATTATTTACTGTCATAACCTCAAGAGGAAAAATTATTGCTGACCATTTTTTAATCTTGATAATATTTTTCTGTTTTGTTGGTTAAGTTTGTTTACCAAATTGAGTAAAGTAAAAAACAATACTACTTAAGAATTTTACTTTTTCGCCATATTTAAATTTTTTGAATGCATTTTTAAATGTTTCAATGATATCTCGTAATTTTTATCTCAAAAAACAATTAACTCTATTAAAATCTATATTAATCATTTAAAAGCACTTGTTAATATTATTTCCGTTATAATTATTTACTAAAAAACTTTAATTTAGTAATATTGATTGATTTTATTTTACAACATCGTATACTATATGATATGATACACACATGCAATATATATATTCCATGATATATTGAGAGGTCAAACAGATTATTTTGAAACATTCATCATTGAATTGCCATCTGTTTTATCAACTACATTTAATAAAAACTAAAAGAAAATAAAGAATAAGGTGATAGTATATTTTCATTTATATATAGTTTATCTTTTAACTGATTTTATGTATCGAAGAACTTATACACTTGGCTAAACTGCATTGTGACTAAAATATATATAGAGGTTAAACAAAACAATCTTAGAATTGTGCAATTCAGCAACTAAATTTCATTATTGATATAAGATAAACTATTAACGTCTAAAAAACGTTGCCCAAAATCGAGTTTTCTAGCTCCCAAAAACATGAAAAGAACAATGAAATCGTGTCGGAATTTTTAAAACTATCTCAGGAATTTAATGCAAACACGACAACCCAAGCGTGAAGGTAAAGTAAAATCACCCTTTTCAAATGAGTCTCAATTTTCTCTAAATGGTTCCTCAACCATGCCTAACCTTTCATCAACATCGTTAGGTTTAATGCTAAAAAATTTTGCCAAAACGACGACTGAAAAATAAACTACAATTACTAGTATTATCACAAAAGAAAAATCAGCTTATAATTGTTCTTAACGAATTTTATATTTGAAAACGATTAAAATAGCGTATCATTATTTAAGGAAACATACTTTACGAATAAATTGAAAAAAAAAAAAAACTAAAACGAGAGACCACAAATTTTTTCAAGGAGAAACGTGACCTTTGTCTTTTCCTACAGAGAAAACGACTAACTACCTGCAAAAGCACACTATACTCTGCTTCAACAAATGAGAGTTTTCGATGGAACTGGTGAACCACGTGAGCTGGTTAGATGCGTGGGACAGAGGGCTTGTAGTACCTGCTAGCGTGGCCATGCAAGATTCAAACATTAGAAAAAATTAGAGATGGATATTTTAAATTTTAACCCAGGTTCCCACAAAATTTAATTAATTTATCAGAATAATTGCGGTGCTTTCTAAATAATCTAGGGAAGGATGTATAAGTTGATTCACGAGTACTTTAAATAATCCACATGGGTTCAAGAGTACTTTACATAACCCCTTTGTGCGCTCAACGCTCGTCAACTTTAGTACCCAAACTCAATCCATCAAAATTGCAACCCAATCTATCTATCAATACCAAAACTACCAAAACCATTCCATACATAACACAATCCATCATAACTACTATCTAATCAATCAAACACAGAAGTCTATCAAACTCAGAAGCAATATCTTGCCCACTGAAATCCAACATGGGCGGCTGACGTGCATATATATCTTGTGCCTGCGTAGAATATAACGTGCAACATATGATTAGTAACTTACGAGTAAATTGCGAGAGATTGTAAACTTTACACACAAAAAACCTTAGAACGAAACCAAGGAGATCAACAACAACATAGCCATGTAATTCAACAAGTGGGATCAGGGGAGGGTAGGATGTATGCAAACCTTATCGTAGACAGGTTGTTTCTAATAGACCCTCGGCTCAAAAGATATGTAACCAACGCAGGAAAGTAAGAAAGAAAAAGAGAGAACAAAGTAGCAATGTAAGAAACAAGTGTAGCAACAAATATTAATACACATAGGAGAGAAAAAAACTACGATCTACCTAAATCATACTACTAGAACTACGACAACACTAGACTCCCCACTAACCTTCTACTCAAATGTTTGACCTCCATACTTTCCTATTTAAACACATAAGATCTTAGAACAAAGTAGAAGTAACACGAGAGATCATTCATAGCTTAAGAGATTTATACTGGGAAAATTATAACAAGTCCCGAGTTATAAATCCCCCCCCAAAATAAAAAAATAAAAAAATGTAGATGCATGTTAATACAAGTGGAAAACAACTTCAACAAGGTGAAAAACAATTGAATTATCCAAACAAGTTCGGATTGCATACCTGACTTGTATGGATGGAAGGCTAAGGAAGTTTCCCGTGCAATGGAGAAGAAGTAGGGTTGTGTGGACTTTTGCCACTAAGAAAGAAAGTTATGTACTTCTCAAGCGAAAACAGTTTTTCCTTGTGAGAAAGTTGAATCTCACGCTTGTTAAGCCGCAAGAAAAGCACAATGCGTTCCAACGTCATCTTGAAAATCTTGAGTTTTTCAATTTTCTCATGTTGAGGATGCTGAGGAAGAGAGTCATGCTCAAAATCAGAACGAAATCAGTTTCTTGCCCAATGCAAATTTTTAATAGTCATGCTTTAAGTGCCCCTCCAGGCCAAGAAAAAAGGGAGGGGAACTTCAGAAAAAGGCATAAAGAAATGAATAACATAGTAAAAAAACTAAAAATGAACACTTGTTTTTCCTTCCACCAAAAAATAATAAAAAAAACTATCACTCTATGTTTCGACAAAATGTTCGCGTAAGTGCTTTTCACAACTCAGATATATCAAGCTCAATCCCAATCCCAATCCCAAAACACTAGGAAGGACTTGATCCCTTTCAGTGATGGAAAAGAGACTCTAACATCAAATTCATGTCTATATAACAATTAACAGTTACACAAAAAGGTTAAAATGAGACATCGTCGTCTAAGATGGCTCTCTCATCTAAGATGGTACAGACATATCCTAAAAAGACGTCCGAAGGCATCAATAGGTGGGACATTATGATGATTGAAGGTAGTAAAAAAGATGAGTTAGACTTAAGATATATCAATAATAATTATATCAAAGGACTCAAGTTCTCTTGGAATCAATGCAAATTTAGCTAAAAAACAAACCTGCTGCATTTCAGAAGCAGTTTTCCAGTATAGATCATTGAGCTCTGATAAATACATCTCCCTCATAGACTTGATCTGTGTTACAAAATTTCATGAAGTCAAATTCACAAATGTCAAGATTGCATCTCCCATGAGGATATGTGATAATTAGATCAATTGTACGATGCAGTAGAGAACAAACTAGACAATCTTCATGAAAGAACCTTCCAGATAAAAAGGTTAAAAGTGAAGTATAAGAGAAAGAGACTACTAGCATGTTTGGTCAAGCTTCTAAAATATGCTTAATTTGAAAAAATGCTTTTCAAGAAATTAGTGTTTTGGTGACGTCTGTATATGACTAATCAATTTTAAAAACATTTTTGAGCAGCAATTAGTGTTTGCCCAAGCTTTTAACAAGTGCTTCTAAAGTGTATTGTCTCAAAAGTACTTTTCAAAAAAGTACTTTTGGAGAAAAACTTTCCTTTTTAGCTTCTAAAAAACAACTTTTGTTACTCTACCAAAAGACTTATTTTCTCCCAAAAACTTGGCTGAACTTTTTTTAAAAAATAAGCACTTTTGGCCTTCCAAAGCGTGGCCAAGAGGCTATATAGTTGATTAACATGTGAATGATATAAAAAAAAAATTCTTCCTTTAGCTTCTTGGTTCACATTTCTGCTCACATCAAAGAGTACAAATTCCATAATGTGATCATAGACCACCATGAATTACAAGTTAATCAAACCGGATAATGAGGATTCATATAGTTGATTCCAACTAGCTTGAGATTGAGGCGTAGTCATTGTAATAGTATTCTTCAATTGAGAATATTATCTTCTTTTTTTTTTTTAATAATCGAGAAATCCGTCTGTGACCCGCCCTTTGGACCAACAATTGAGAATATTATCAGCCTCTATTAATTACAAGTTACCTGTTTAAAGTACCTAGGGGTTAGGGGTATGACGACCATGAATTACAGAAAATATTTCAGAACATTCAGCCATTTCTTATACTGTCATAACCAGCTAGGTTATCAAAATGCACATCACTAATCAACTGCCAAAAAATTCAATTTCCAGCTAGTCATCTCTAATTTCCTATGTTTTCAAAATCTTGAACAAATAAATACCATTGCGAACAATACCTTTTGGTAAACCTCTTCCTGCCAGTCAGCTCCGTTTGTGTTTCCCGTCTGAGCTGAAGAATCTAAAGGTGCTACAAATAACACAAAATTGAGGATAGAACAAATATTAAAGAACCTGATTACTTACACCATTAAAATTTCAGGCAAATTTTGGGAGAATGTTAGATATTTCAGGGTATATTAATACATTTTTCTGCAACAGTTTCTTTAGCTAATATTCAGCAAATTAGTTGTGGCAATTGTAATTACACCATTGTTTTCATTATTATATATAAATAGGGGTTGAAGGGTTAGCATAGCTCACTTGGTGAAATCTCTATACCTTCCACAGTAGAGGTGTAGGGTTCAAACTCCATCGGTAGTGTAGCTTGCTGATGCATTATATTTCCAGATGTGTTATGTGATGCAAGGCCAGCACTAACTTTTTCAGAATCCCCCGTCATTGGAGATGAAGCCAAGGGAGTTAAAGGAGATGGGACAACAAATGGTGAGCTTGCGGATTGGAGAGGCGTCCCAGATTTGGAAAGAGATGCCAACATATTTTGTTGGTCAATTTGCGGAGAAGGATGTTGGGTAACCTGAGGAGATAGTGCCTTAAGGAGTTGAGGTGAAGATATTCCTGACTTCATTTGTGGATGATGAGATCCAACACGCTGGCCAACTGACTGCTGTTGCATTAAGTGATGTTTCTGTAAAATTCCTGTTTTCATTTCCATTTGCTGCAGTTTCATTAACTGCTGTATTGGCAAAAGTAGCTGCTGGTTCTGCAACATTTGCTGGCTCTGCGACATTCGCTGCAGGACGTTTGAATTTTGTTGTAGGGAACTGAGGTTTGCCTGCACTGGGTTAGTTCCACTTTGTGGACTTAATGAGCTTATGTTAACTTGTCGACGACGGTTAACATGATTCTGTTGCAAAGAGCCAGTAGACACCTGTTGCACTGAGTTCAAAGAATTACCCTGTCCCAAATCCAAATTGGAACCAGGCTGTATTGTATTTATCATGTCTTGCTGAGAGTTGGAATTTGTCGATATGCCAGACAAGGAATCATGGTGCAAGTTGGTGAAATTATTCTGTTGAATTAACTGCTGCAGTGAGTTCATTGCTTGCTGATGTTTCATTAACTGCTGACTTTGAAAAAGTTGTTGCTGCATCAGTAGCTGGTTGCACAGGGGTGTTAATTGTTGGTTCTGCAACATTTGCTGCTCGTGCTGTGTAGGAAGTAAATGAGGCAGCGAGTTTGAGTTTTGCTGTAGGGATTCGAGGTTTGCCTGTACAGGGTTTATTCCACCTTGTGTACTGAATGAGCTTATGTTATCATGTTGAAGACTGTTAGCAGGATTCTGTTGTAAGGATCCAGTAGCCACCTGCTGCGGTGAGTTCAACGAATTACCCTGTCCCAAATCCCATCTGGAACCAGGTTTTACCACATTTATCATGTGTTGTTGAGAATTGGATATTGTCGATACGCCAGACAAGGAATAATGTTGCAAGTTGGTGAGATAACTCTGTTGCATTGCCTCCATAGAACCCTGTACGGGCTGCATCGGTGGATTAGTTTGACCACCAAGAGATTGTGGTTGCTGAAGCTGCATGGAAGACTGATGAAGTTGCCCCTGCTGTGGAGAAGAAGAAGTCTTGCTGAGTGCCAAATTGGAACTAAGAAACTTACTTATGTTCTTCTCAACCGAGACCAGTTTTTCCTTGTGAATAAGTTGAATATCCTGCTTGTTAAGCCGCAAAAAAAGCATAATGCATTCCAGCATTATCTTATACATCTTGAGCTTTTCAATTTTCTCATTTTCAAGACGCTGATGAAGAGAGTCATGCATAAAATCAGAAAAAAAAAATCAGTTTAGTTACAGTCCTGTTTCTTTTCCTTAGCAAACTTTTGAAATTCATTCTTCAAGTACCTCCCATGGCAACGAAAAAGGGAGTAAAGTTTAAGAAATGACATAAAGAGACAAATAACATAGCTCGCAAGGTTCACACAATTCGCAAGAATGTTGATCCAAGTGCTTTTAAATTAAGATAAATCAAGCCCTTGCCCGGAGAATGGAGGCCTTAATTCCTTCCCCAAAAGCAAAACCAACTAACAGAAAAATTAAACACAAACAAATGATGCAGATGCTAGAAATGAAAAGGAATTAGCCACATTACAACTATGAGAGCACTGTTTCTCAAGATGACAATTGACAGGAAAGGAACCAAATTAAAGAAGCAAAAATGAGAATTTAGTGTTTTGAGCTTTCTGCATCAGTACCCAGTTTGAGGAGTTTCCAGTAACCAATAGAATACAATATGCATTACACCTTAGGAATGCAATATGCAAATGATGGTGTGTCATTTGATGAAACTTGCAAGGGAGTCAACCAAAATTTGGAACTATGATGAAGCACTTAGGAGGGGGGTTGATGACATACCAGCTGCATTTTATAAGCAATTTTCTCGTATAAATCATTGAGGTCTGATAAATACCTCTCCTTCATAGACTTGATCTGCATTACAAATTTCAATTAGTCAATTGAGGAGATGTCAAGAATGCATTCCCATGTGGTTAGGTGATAATTAGATCAACTATACGATGCAGTAGAGAACAAACTAGAGAATCTTCACAAAAGAACCTTCCAGATAATAAGGTTAAAAGTGAAGTAGAAGAGGAAGACTACAACTGATTAACATGTAACTGATCTTTGCTTCCTTTAGCTTCTTGGTACTCACATCAAGAAAACAACTTCCGTAATGCGATCATAGACTAGCCCAACCAGGGGGAATCAGAATATACATAGGTTGGAAGGACCACTAATAGAACTTGGTTCCCACAGGTTGATTGTGAGGAAGGTGGGGGCCGCTTCCTGCTGAATTGGAGTGTCGTAGCAGCTGAATGTGCGTGAGATCTATGTGAGTTACTAATAAAATATGAACACTTCAGGGCTGGTGCTCTATCTCTGCTTGGAACAGTGCCTTTTCTGGTAAAAGAGGGAGGTTCATTACAGAGAAGGTGCTGGTAACATGGGTTTTTTAGGGGCACAGTTCTTAACTCGGTGGATAACGTGTCTGATCCTCTACCCTTCTCCACTTAAATACTAAACTCTTGTGAGATGCGCCTAATTCAATACGTCCAATATTACACTCTTACCACTAGATCAAAGTTCGGTCATCTCCTTCAAAGCATTAATCTTTTTCCAATACCAACAGCAGCCTTGCGGTGTTTGGTGAGTCCAAATATTCTATTACAGGGAGCTTTAATGCTATGTTGGGGCAGCAGAGCAGACTAAATATTGCATAACTCATTTGGACAGCACTTTCATAGCCAAAGCATCGATTTATTGTGTGGTTGGCTGTACAAGGTAGACTACTTACAAAAGAAAGTCAATCTCTGGAAACTTAGTTACACATCTTGGATAGAGACATTGAGAGATAGCATCCAACAGTGAGTAGGACTAACCATAACTAAGGGTGAGGTTCAGAAAGTGCTGGAAGGCATAAAGAGGAAGAACTGGAAGCAGTTTCATCACAGCTATTCGGGGAGCGGTGATCTATCATACATGGAAAGCAAGGAACTCGAAGATTTTTAGAGGATCATCGGTGAATACTGATATAATGTTAGTACAGATTAAGAAAGAAGTTATAGAAAAATTAGACTTATTGAAAGGATCTAGGAAAGCTAGTAACAATCATAGGTTGATTACCAAGTTACTTAGCACCTAATTATTTTTCTTGTTTAGTTGGAAACCTATGCTTCTTAGTAATCTTATGCTGTAATGTTCTTTGTTGGCTTGACAAGTGAAAAACGACGGAATGGAGAATACAGAGCATGTTAGTGTTATATGTTTATTCTTGGAGAAGTCAAAGTATTCCAACTTATTACTAGCTAGTAAACCAAGTCGCGTAAGTAGAGAAAGACGATTTTCGAAGACGAAGCATTGAATTCTCTATTATAAGAAATAAAATAAAAAACAGAAAAAGTATACCAACTAATACAGATGAACGAATGTCTTTTCACAAAAAACATCTTCATATAGCCATATATTTAGGTATATACTTCTTGCACAAATAGGTTTATCCCCAAACTAGCAATTAAAGATTTTAGTTGCCGGGTTACTGTAATCAATAAGTTTATCAAATATGCACCACTTCTAAGTCATGCCAGTGCATGTGAAACTAATTTTTTGTCGTTGACAATATTGGACCAAGACAGGCTTACACAAGCACCACTGACAGTGAGGATTCATGCTCGTTTCTAACAAGTTACCTGTTAACATGCTCAGATTTCTATTTCCTCAAGAAATTGAATACATAAAGCACCTTGAGTGGAGGGGTACGGTCATGAATTTAGCTGAACACTTGGTACGGTAAACCTCTTCTATTACTCTATAATCATAGGAAATATGTCGAAACATTCAACTATTTCTTTATAATGTTATAACTAGCCAATTTATCAAAATCCACATATCAAATTTTCACAATTTTCAAAATCTTGTGCAAATTAAAAGTACCAGTGCAAACCATACCTTTTGGTATACCTCTTCGTGCCAATCAACTCCATTTGCATTTTCCATCTGAACTGTTGAGTGTAAAGAACTTGATTGGTTACATCATTAAAATTTCAAGCAAATTTTGCGACATGTTACATATTTCAAGCATATTAATACATTTTTTTTTTGATGACCATGGTGTCCGAGCACCTCCCACTTCTGTCCACTAAGGCTATGATCCTATTAAGGATGGGAAGAATCATCTAGTATTTTTTTTGTCTCCCTTGGGATTCGAACCTGAGACCTCATGGTTCTCAACCACTTAATTGACCACTACACCACACCTTTCCGTCCAAATGTACTTGTGTAAGTTTCCACTTTTATTGGATATTTGGAAATATACTAATAGTTCTATCTTTTAATCTATACTATTATAAAAGTACGAAACTCCACACAAAATTACCCGTCATAAGTGCACCTGTGTTGGATAATATTGTTATTACAATTAATTTTTACACTTCTTTTGAGCCAAGAGTCTATCTATAAGTAAGATGTGCCTGCCTCTCTTACCCTAAGAGCTTGGGAGAGACCTAACTAGTAGAATTACACTAAAACCTCGTACGGGATAACTAATCAAACTAATCGAGATTATAATGTTACTTTTATTGGATAACAATCATGGATAAGAGGATAATTAATCCGGGATATATAATGATCTTACTTAGTATAACTTAATTCGAAGCTGAATCGCGGAAGTAGAGTAACTACTTCAAAAATAAACGATCAAGATTAAATTCCACGGGTCAAGATCCCGCCACGTTATCTGAAGGTTGTTATAAACTGGAGAGAGAATACAACAACGAACTTCTGGTAAACCAATTCCTCCCTCGTTTCTCTTCTCTCTCTTCCTTTCTATTTTCTTCTTTTCTAATTCCGATCTTTTCTTCTTTTTCTCTCTGCACATTCGAGATCAACCATGGATATCAACTCATTCTAGCTATCTTAGATTTAATTAGTTTTCAATTTCATTGTAGTAGAAATCCATTTTTCCAGTTTATATCAATTCGAGAAAATTGTCCAAAAAAATTGAGTTGATTTACTTTTGAAATTGCATTTTACCATCAGATTCTAATTCTAATTGGGATCCTGACATCCTAACAATATAACTTGTCCCAACCAAACCAAAACACACACTTGCTACCTTCGGGTTCGTGTAAACCCCGCTCTAATGTAATAACCCACAAAGCACACAGAAAAAATAAACACAAACGATTTCAAACCCTACATTCCCAATGCAATTCTACGAATATCTAGTAGTTGTAGTAATAGTGTAAAATCATTGACAAAAGAAAGAAAAAAAACAAGTACAAGTAACGATCCAAAAAAAATAAAAACGAAGGAAATCACTACCTTGAGTATTATTATCAATATACATCGCTGATAAACATTTTTTGATACCCTAACTTGAGCCCTAGTATATGTATTTTTATATATATATAGTTAAGTTTATATATAGTCTCTCAAATATTTTTATAAACTTCGTTTTTGTAAAATAAAGATATCCTCAAAAAATATTTTATTTTATTTTATAATAAAAAGTCAGTCCAGTTTGTTTTGTAACATAAATGTCACTCAATTAATGATAATAATTTCAAATAGTTATACAACTCTATTTTATAATTAAAAAAGTCACTTAATATAACTTGGGAAAAAAATCAAACCGAACCCTGAAAGTAAGTAAGAAGGAAAAAACTAAATTCAATCTTATTGATTTACGGGGTAATAATTATATGTCTCAAATATGTTTTTATAAGTGTAATTTTATGAAGTTATAAATTTGTATATTAAAAAAATTTGAAGGTTATGAACATGAAAGGTTAGAAGTTATAGACATTACTAGATTAATTAAGAGTTGAATTTATTACAAATGTATAACTTCATAAAATCACACTTATAAAAATCTATTTGAGACATGTACGATGATTATTTTATGTTAATTTTCTTTTTCTTTATCTTTTGTTTCTTCGATTAGTCAATTTTTTGTCTTCTTTGATCTGATTTTGTAGGAGAGAGAGGTATAATGTCACGCCCCGAGCCTACACCCTGGGCGGGACTGGCACTCGAGAACCATTGTTGGCCCCAAGCGAACCCTTGGCCTGACTTACTTACTCAACGGAAGACTATATGCAATAAGAAAGGAATTCAAATGCTAAACAACTTAACTATCTCAAACTGAACTCATAATGTTTTGAAAATAAACATTTAACTTAGCCAAAATGGCAACTCAAATCTGAACATAAGTCAATAACAAAATGATGACGAATGAACTAACATCTGACTGACTATCTATGAAGCCTCTAAAACAACTGAGATAGATGTCGGGACAGGCCCACGACATCCTAATGAACTATCTAATACTGAAAGTTAACAAAAGGGATCCTCCGGAATGCAAAGAGGCTCACCAATAAACTCTGAACTGCTCACTGGATCAACGATACTCTGGATGTCGATCCTAGTTACATGCGTCTGCATCATAATACGATGCAGGTCAACTGGCATCAGTACATTTAATGTAAAAGTATGCGAGTTGGAATGATAAACACAACATAGGCTTGAAAAGAATCTGAAAGGAACTGAAGAACTTACCTGGCTCAACTCAACATAACTGAACTCATTTCAATATAAAGTAGTTTAAAACAAGTGCAATATAAAAAAAAGTTGTTTAAAACATGATGTCAACTCTGTGTGTATGAAAATGTATAAATAACTCTGAGATGTATGTAAAAATACAAATAAGTTGATGTATATAAAAATACAAAGTACTGTTGTGGAGTTTCTCCAACCGACAACCATCACATAAGAGCTATTGTGATGATACATCGATCTCCCTCACACTGCCAACGCATCATATACCCTGCCAGGGGTATAGGACCTAAATTTCTAAGTGGATCCACTAGTCTATGCGAAAAGGATTCATCTAAAAAGTATGACCCTTTTCTACCCATGATGGCTACATGGTTTATGGAGACGTGAGTTATCTGAACTCATGCTCGTCCCCATATCGGTGCTCAATACTATTCCCAAAATATGATACTAGCTCTTTATGTTTAAAACATACTTCTTGGAAATCAAAGTTTCCCCTTTTGCTTAATTATTAAAGCATTTACTCTTTTATGAAAACTAGCTCAAAGACTCTTTGGAAATCAAGTTTTTCCTTTCTTGTTTAAATATGAAAACATTTAAAACCCTTTGGGAATACATAGTCCCCATATACTTTTGAAGAAATGAACTTCAAGCTTTACTCTTTACTCAACTCAAAACTTAAGTCTTAAAACAAAGTTAAAACGTTTGTAAAAGACTTTTAAAAAAAGAAACGTTATGAACTTCTCTTTAACTTAACTCTTGACTTCTTTTGACTTGACTCCTAACTGATCCTTAAATTGAATTATGGATTCAAGGATCGTGAATTGTGATAGGAAAGATCTCATGATGTTTAGGAATGAATTTAGATAGCTAAACATGAGAAATAGACCAAAAATCAATATCTGAGGGTGGCTCCGCAACACGGAGACATATTTAATTTTTAGGTTCAAAAATGACTTTTGAGGCAGAAGACTCCGTGACGGCTCCGCGACGAGAAATGAAAATTCCCAAAACTGGGAACCAGCTCTGCGACTCGCCACTGATGTCGAATTTCGTCCAACGAAATCTCTTCTTTGTTTTTCGGTTGTAAACCCTCTAAACTCCGTGGGTTCTTTTACCCAACACTTAGAATCGATTAAATGTTCAAAGTACATCAGATTCTACTCAAAATCGAACCTAAAATCACAGATTAGGATCAAACAACTCCTCAACGAATTCAACGAAACTTCAACAAACCCATTCATGAACTCAATTTCTAAGCTTTCAAGAACTTAAATTCGCTGAAATAAATCATGATTGGCACGTGGGCGAATTAACCCAACGCTATGTGATCTCACATACCCTGTAGAAATCACCCTCGACGAAATCCACAAGCCAAACTTGACGATCTTAACGATTCTTGAACGTTCTTCTCCTTTCTCCTCTTCTTTTCTCTTCTCTCAAAACCCTAACTCTTTTTCCAAAAGAGTAAGCTGACTAAGTTCAGTTTAGACCCCTAAGTTATTACCAAAAATGAATTAAAATAAAAGGGTAAGGAAAAGACCAAACTACCCTTCAAAAAATCCGGATTTGGACTTTCCTTAATTCAACAGCCCAACTTCCAAAGGGAATAACTTACCCATACGAACTCGAAATCGTGCAAACTCGGCGGCGTTGGAAAGTTCATTCCAGAAGCTTTCCAACCATATCTCGAAGTACACCTAAATCATCCTGAGCTAGGAGTTATGGATCTTTGAAGTTGACCAAAAACTCACTTTTCCTAACCTAAACAAATTTCTAGATTTTCAATTCTTTCCAAAAATGACTATTTCCAATTCTTAGCTTCTTCCTAACTATTTCAAATTGCGAGATGTTACGTATAATGAAAAATATTAGATATTCTTGCATAGTTTGATTTTACAAGGTAAACATACGTGATATTATTATCATTTTTTCCATTGTTAAATTATATAAAATAACGAAGGATAATAACAATATTGGTCCTTAAGATAGAAGGTTCATACAAAAAATTTGAGATAACATTAGTAACTAAAAAGATTTATATATGGCAAGGGATTATTAATTTTGAACACATGAGATCTTAGAACAAAACACAAGATGAGTAATTTTAATTACTTATATATTGCAAATTTTGCTAGTGATAACTATCTCAAGAGTTTTGAAAGGAAAAAAAGAACAATAATTATCTGTTGGGAAAAGTACTACAATATTGATATTGGATTGGAATTGCAAAATAGTATACAACTTATTACAAACACTGTGTCGTGGCAAGCCACTGCCGTGAAAGCGATTTTAGCCCGACTCTGATGTAAATTGTTTTAGCCGATCGCTCCCCAAGGTTCCACAGTCACTCTCAAACACGTGCACTCGTGGCTGGAAGTTTGGAGTTGCACAAAAACAATTGCCCAGAAATCCGCAATAGGAAGAATGATGGTTTAAGCCAATAAAGAAATTGTTGAAGGAGATAGTAAATGAAAGAAAGGACTTGGTTTTGTTCTCTATGTTTAGCTCCCAAATGATATCCTTAAATAGGAAAATTATTTACGTTTTCATCCATCAGAAGAATGTAAGAAACTAACATATAATCAATGTAATGAAGCATTACTCTTACTTCAATGACAAATTTGTCATAATACAAAAGTAACTTCAAGTCTTCTGAATATCTTCTTATGAAGTTAATGTCACGCCCCGAGCCTACACCCTGGGCGGGACCGGCACCTGGAGACCATTGCTGGCCCCAGGCGAACCCTTGACCTGGCTTTCTTAACTCAGCGGAAACCTAACTCAACAGAATAACTCAACGTCATGCAAAGACATAAACAACTTAACTAATAAAAATATGGCCCAAAGGGCAACTAGAGCCTCAAAATAGAATATTTACATATATATATATATATATACATGGATGAGAGACTAAAAACTAACTGACTGTCTGACTGTCTATTGAAGCCTCTAATATACTGAGATGGATGTGGGGACAGACCCCGCAACATCCTAATAGAACAAAACTAAGTACACAAAATAATTGAGTCCTCCGGAATGCAAGGAGGCTCACCACAGACTCTGTAGTGCTCAGCTGGATCAATGACGTGCAGGATGCTGATCCGGGGTACCTGTATCTGCATCATAAGACGATGCAGGCCAACTGGCATCAGTACATGGAATGTACGAATATGTGAGCTGGAAAAGCTGAACCACAACTTAAGCTTGAAAGGAGAACAAGAGATCACTTACCTTGACTCTGAACGACTCATATACGTAACTGGACTCAAAGTAAAGCAATAAGACACGAGCCATACATATAAAGCTTGTAAAAGAATGTAAACAACTTAGATCGTTAAGGATAAAATGATAACAAACTAAACTTTTCTTTTATAAACATAATACAGCTTTTGTGGGAGGTTCTTTAACCGACAACCACCACTACGAGCCTTAGTGATGATACAACGTTTTACCTCACGTTGCCAAAGGACCATCCTATACCTTGCCATCGATATAGGACCTTACTTTTGCTTAGTGGATCCACTAGCTTAATCTTACGTGATCATCTAAAAAGAATGATACGTCAAGTCCCATGTTGGCGCATGGTTCTTATAGAGAGTCGAGTTAATATGAACTCGTGTCCCCAATTCGGTGCTCAATACTACTCCCAAAAATACTTTGGCTCATGCTTTTAAAATAACTTCTTTCTTTGATTGAGACGATTACTCAAAACTTAGCCCAAAGGCTCTTTTGGAAAACATGGCTCCTTTCTTACTTAAATGTAAAAACATTTAGAACTTCTTTGGGAAGTACA